GAATCTATTGTGAGTTTAAAAAATGCGGAAAAGCCTACCTTTCGTAGTTTTACTTTAAAACCTGCATTTCGATGCAGAATATATATTATAGGAGTGTATCCAATTCAAGGATACCTGTGAGCAGCTCTTATTTCCTATTAATTATATTTGTCACTTTCAGTATAGCGCGCCAAAAAATTTGTTATTTAAATAATAATTCCTATTATCTTCTGCTTGTATTTATTTATTCTTTCTCCTGATATGACCCACGTATACGTTAATACCGGTCCCGTAAGACAGAATCCTGGCGCTGGGGTTATCTAAGGTTGGCGAACAACTTTAATTTTGCCGTATTTGCGATATGGCAAGAGTGTGATCACGGCAGTTTCTACTGTGTACTCCACAGCAACAAAAAAACGCGCGATTATTGAAAAATTAACAAGCAAGCATGCATGCAAGCAGAAAAAGCCCAACCCGTCAAAAATCCGGGGCTGGAAGGGGCTAGACTGGGCAACAGAATGTGAGCATGCGCGTTAATTTGGAAAGCAAATAAAAAAGGGCATAGGCTACTGTTGAAAGTTAATTGAACATAACAAAAAAACATGAATTTACTTAGATTCATTTAAGAATAGCATTTATGCCGAAAGAATGGATAATTTATAATGGATGGTGATCAAAGTAATAGTTAGGTAATGACTAGTGATTAGAAAAACAGACAGCGGATAATGCTTTATACAAATTAATTGTAGGCCAATGATTAAAGCCAAGAGGAGAATAACAGAAACTCAAATCGATTGTATGGGCGATTATCTGAGGAAATATCCATTTTTATTAATTCAGATGACGTGATAGAAAAACGGCCAATGCCTAGGACACCTAGCAATGCCACTAGGGATTGAAAATTCGGCAGGAGGTATTAAAAAAGTATACCATGTATTTTTGCGTGTGTATATAAAGTCACTTGTAGTTAACGGTTAAAAATACTTTATGCAGGTTATAATGCAAATTGAGAATTTCGTAGAACGGCATATCGTTGAAACGTTGTTTTTGGTTACTACGGATATAAGTGAAATCGTGTGTATCTCAAACGAACCGCAAGGTTACTGGGTAAGCGACCGAGGACATGTATCATGCTTTGTATGTTCGATAAGCTGTCAGCGGAAATTAAAGATTTCTGTTTAGGGAATACAATGGAGTACGTCGAAATGAGCAACCAAGGTGGCAAACGGAATTTGTACAGTGTTTGTACTTTCTGTAACCGAAAAGTAATCGCAGGTCACTAAATTTTTTCATCTGGGGGGAATATATCGGTCCGGGTAACTCAACTGGCCAACAAGCACGCCACAAAGCTCCGGTTTGTTTTCAAGCAAGAGTACAGCTTGTATTACTTTTAGGGCTGCTGTCCTGAACGCTCTCCGCCTCCGGTGCATCACCGGCCGCCGTCGTCGCCGTCGCAGTGTCCGGCTGGGTCTCCTCAGGGTCTTTTTGTGGGTTGGATTTTGCCCGCAATTTCATCAGGCGACGAATCTCGCGGCCACGGATTTCGTACTTCAGTTGGATACGGCGGCGATAGTCGGCCTCCTCCCGATTGAGGATCTGGAGGAAGTTCTGCAGTTCAGCGGTGCTGAAGCAGGACCACTAGAACGGCGGAAGGGAAAAAAAGTGTGCGAAGTGGATTAGCAAAAAGAAATGAACGCCGGTTCTGCAATGACAACGTAAGACCACGATAACAGAATCCTCATTATCATCGCCACCGCCGTAACCATAGTGTACGGTGGAGCCTCGATTAAGGAGTTAAATCCGTTCTGGCACCCAGCCCGTCATTTGAAACAAATTTCCCCCAAATTTTATAATTTAATTATGATATATGCGCGAGTCTTGACACCAGTCTCGCGAGAGCTCGTACCCAATGAAACCGCATCAGTTCACTGATTGGCTGCAGGCGACCAAAGAACCCACTCTCTGGAAACAAGACTCAATGGCGGACACAGGCACACACACACACGCACTGACAACTCGTTAACTGAGCTGAAGCACCTCAAACGA